AAACCTATAAATACCATCCTCCATAACCCAAAAAGGGAGGAGGAAGAGATCAGAAATCCCTTAGAAATTCTCGAAATTAGGAAAAAAATAGCCCAAAAAAAGCTGAAAATAGAAAAACCCTAGAAAATTTCCAAAAACAAAAACAAAATCCCCAAAAATCCCAACAAATCCTAAAATTCGGATTTAATCTTAGGAGCCCCTAAAAATCTAAGGAAAAATCCCAATAAATCCTAAAATTCATATTTAACCTTAGGAGCTCCTAAAAATCTTAAGAAAAATCCCAATAAATCCTAAAATTTGGATTTAACCTTGGGAGCCTCCAAAAACCTTAGAAAACTAAACATTTAGAAAAGTCAAAATAGACACTACCTAAAAATTTCCCAACTTTTCTCCTTGCTTTAGAAATCCTAGACTTAGGTCAAAGCACATTAGATCTACCAATTCAAGTAAGTATAAGCATCCAAAAGGATATGGTGGTGCAAATAAGAATAACAGTCTAATCCAAGCCCGAAACTCTTGATTCCGAGTTCCTAAAGGTAAGTATACTTTATTTATTTAATTTTAGCTAATTTTAATCATTAATTTAATTTTTTGTATTTTAATATACAAATCTAGAAGCTGGCGCTACCAGTGGACCTAAGAAAAAATCAGGTCTGAATAGATATGTGTCATTCTTGGGCCTATAATTTAGCTATCATGTATTCTTTATCTTTCAGCAATTTAACTAAGTTTTGTTAAGATTTGAGCATATTTCATCTTAGAGATCGATGCGAATCGGAGCTCTACATTAATAAATAACAAGATATATAAACCAAAGTATAGAATTATTGTTCAAAAAAAAAAAACAAAAAAAACAAAAAGGACCCCCTGTATAGGATTGCAGTTAACTAAAACAAAACATAATGACCCAAATAAGTAAAAAGTAGTCCATCCAAAATGCACTATCGTATACACAAATAAAATCAAAATAACAACAAAATTAATCAAACTTCACTATACATAAAGAAAGAAATAAAATGGTTAAGCAAATTCAAATCTTATAGTGAATTTCCAATTGCCCAAACCTTTAGCATCATTGAATCTCTCACTTACTCTTTATAAAGACACTCTGAATTTAAACAAAAAAATGATATTCCATTTTTTTTTTTTTTGGTAAATCAATGGGGGAGAAGCCCCCTACCCGGTTTTACATTAATAAAGATAAAGAAATGCAAATCATAATTTTACTGCAATTATGGCAATGTACTACGCCAAACCGTAGCACTAGAGAAGGGCCACAGCCTTTTTAGTGATTATATCTGCTATCATGTTGCCCCCGTGATAGATATGAGAAATTGACCACACAAAATTTGAAACGCTCTGTCTGTGGTTAACTACAATCGTGTGAAGTGTCCACAGAGGGTTGCATCAACCTTAAATGACATTGACAAGTAGGGATGAATCGCTTTCAATCTGCCAGCACTGAATAGCTAGATTAATGCCCTCTTTAAGGGCATACAATTCCGCAAAGTTGTCGGATGCAATGCCAAAAGGTGTGCTGAAAACAATAATAAATGCATCATCACCATCTCTGATTACACCACCACTTCCTGGGAGCCCTAAATTCTGTAGAAAAAAAAGTTATTTCATAGGGTTACTATTCTTTTTACTTACTCTTACCGATTATTTTGATATATTTTTTGGGAATATATTGCTTGTATTTTTTCGTACAAATTTTCTAAGGGAACTTATTGGTGAAATTTTTGATGATTTTTTTTGTTAAATCAAGATTTTTAATCTACTCACAATGTTAATGTGCATATATTTAAACCAAATTCACTAATATTAAGTTTATAAAAAAATAAAGTTATAAGGAAGAAATTTTTTGAAAAGTTTTTTTAAAGAAAGATGAAATACAAATTTATATAAGTACCATTAAAAAAACCCTATTTCTTGAAGATCTCTTAAAAACTCGGAGTTTTTTGACGGATTTAAAAAAATCAAAGATTTTTTTTTAAAATTATATTTTATTTTAAAGAGAGACTTGTTAACTATGCTCTAGATACATCTTCGCTTGAGATTCAAGGTTTTACAACTCAAAAAGTAATACGAATCTAAAGATCTATGGAGAACAAAATGAACGTTAATAATCAATAAAAAATAAAACTTTAAAAAATTATTTTTAAACTCCAAAATCCATTTTACTCATGTACACAATTATGGTTATGTTCCTCTAAAATTTTAGGTCTAAGAAAGATATTTGAAGAATTGGATAAAAAAAAATTAAAAAAATGATAAGAAGACTGTGTTTTAAGAGGTGCATATATGACACATCAAAGCCCCGGCCTATAAAAATCGACCACGTGGTTCGACCGTTACTGTAAGAACAAACGGAGTAGGAGGAGAGATGGAGCATGTTCCCACGAGGGATCCGTGAAAGAGATTAAGCAAAAACGGGAGGACGCTATCTTTCAGCTCTGAATTTATATATTGAGAGTTTGAAGCCATTTGACTTCAAAAAAGAAAAGAAAAGAAAAGAAAAGGAGAGTGTAGACGTCAGACTTTTAACGGCATTGTCGAAATGCCTTCAAATATTGAATATCCAAAATTTGAAGTCGTTTCGATTAAATTTGATTTTAGATCACGAAAGTTCCCCAATATAATAGAAATTTATTCAAAACATTGATCCCATGTCATTGTGATTACCAACATTTGAAAACCCAACTATCCAGATCAGTAATCGGCCGATACTGAAGTAACTATGGGAAGGTATCGATACCAGCCAAGTCCCCTCCTAAAACCCCCTTATTTCATAGTTATTTTTGTGAGCCATCTAATGTTTTCTTAGATCCTATTAATTATTTTAATATTTTATTTTAAAATATTTTTTTGGACCACAGATCGGGTGATCCGGTTGTTTGACACATATTTTTTAGGTGGGCAATGCACCTCACTAATCCGGGTTTTGAAACACTCTTCGAGCCTTTTGAAGTGGGGGCATTTTAGGGGAAAAAAAAGAAAAAAAAAGTTATTGATGTAAAATAAAACCTCTCGATTTTTTTCATTACTTCAGAAAGTGAGCAAAAATTTCTCTCATCTTAGTAGCATCTTTAGGAGAGTATTTGTCAAGTTAGTCACGTGAATACTAATTTTTAAGGATAAAATGTTATTTTAGGGGTTGAAATCCCTTTAATGAAATCATTAATCGGGTCCAATTCTTTCTATTACCATTTGAAGGATTGCTTTTTCTTATTTTTAGTGATTCTTAATAATGATCGCCTTGTTTGTAATACAAAATAACTAGGGGATTTTTGTAATTCGGTTGGGGCTTTTGAGGGTCAAATTACTGCGACACTCCTTATTATTCCTTATTTCTAATACAAAACAAAGGCAATTAGAGACTTCTAAAATTTGTTTGGAGGAGGTACCAAAGTGAGGAAAAAAAAAAAGCAATCCCCAAATGTTAATATCGATAATCTGGCGCTATCTTAAGGGGTTTTGACCTCTTAAATGATATTTTCCCATGTTTTAAAAATAGTTGAGTCAGCTTCAAAGGTTTACTTGTATGAGTATGAGACCCCTTGATTCCAATTCATAACATTTATTTGATTTTTAAGTTTTTGTAGTAAAACAATCTAAAACAACAAGTTGACCGGATGAGATGACTCAAAGCTAGGTTGGAATCAATTTTTTTTTTTTTTTGAGAATCAATTGGTGATTGGTTTGACGTATCGATTCAATTTTCAAGACATCGACAACAATTACCGAGCAAGAATAATGTTTTAAAACATGGATTGGTGGGGCAATTGTTCACCTACAAATTCATGTCGAATTGTTGATTCGGTGATCCAGATCAAGTATAGATTGTTCTGAATCAATGATCAAAAGAATATTTAAATATATATATATATATATATATATATATTTAAATATATATATATAAAAGAAATAACAGTTTACCTTGTAGAAATTTACAAGAACCTTAAAAAAGTACTAGATAAGATAAAAAAAAGGATGCAATTTGTACAGAGCCGAGGCATTAAACAATCAAAATAAAACGTATCTTTAAATAGTATCGAGAAATGTGGTTTTAATATTGGAAATTTTTGTGATAGTTTTAAAATATATTTTCATCTTTAATTATAAAATTTAAAGCTTAAAAAATAATATAGATCGAACATATATATGAAACTTGAAAATTTTGAAAATTAACAGTAAAAAAAATACGATGCACTATTTTCAAAACTTGAAATCCATTTTTTGAAATCCATATTTTTTTCGGATTATTGCATCTTGATGTTGAGATGATCAATTTAAAAATATTTGAGCATTAAAATATCACCAAAATTTTGACGTATGCTTGATCGTTTAGAGCCTCAACCCTATATAAATTTTTTTTAAAATAATAATAATAATAATAAATGCCCTCCCCGAATCGCTTCGATCTCCATCGATTTCTATCCAAAATTCCAAAGCATGAAAATTGCTGGGATTTAAAAAACTGAGCAGGGTATTGAAACCTGTCCACCTACGAACGCAGGTTCAGATGATTGATTCCGTGCACATGTGCGGACACGACGCTAGTCATGTGGCGCTCGTGCCAAACATCCGCCATCCATCAACGTCTCTCCCAACACACTTCCCAACATCACATCACTGTAACTCTTTCTCTCTCCTCCCCCTTCTCTCTCGCCATTGCTTCTCTATCTCTCTCCTCCCATCTCTCTCTCTCGCCATCGCTTCTCTTTCTCTCTCCTCCCCCCTTCTTTCTCTCTCTCTGTCGCCATTGCTTCAAGTTCAAATCAATGTGAGCCTTCCACAGTGACACTTGCTGCCCTCTCTCTTTCTCTAAGTTCCGAGTCTCCTGAGTCTGGCTCTCTCTCTCTCTCTACTCATTCCTGCTCTCGAGTATCTTGACTCTGATCCCCTCTCGCCATTTTCTCTCTCCTCCAAGTTTTCCACATTCTCTCTCTCTCCTCAAAATCCCACCTCGCGCACCACTCCACTCTCTCTCTCTAAAACAACAATGCACCCCTCTCCCTCTTCTCCCCCGCTCTGAAATCTCTCTGAATCTGGTTCATCACTTTCTCTCTTTAAAACCGCCACCAATGGCTGCCCTGGAGTGCTGGACCAGCCGAAGCAGCACTGCCACCGACGACGACACTGTGGAGCACGTCCTCATGCGCACCCACGATCGCTCTGAGGCCTTCAACCCCCACGACGCATCCCAGCCGTTCCCCTCCTCATCCAACCCCATCAAGGACCTCGTCCAGAAGAAATTCCACCGTTTCAGTCGCAACTTCACAGAAGCCCTCTCCACCCTCAAAACCACACTCAATCTCGACCCTGGAAACATCGACAAGGTCCGAGACCCCGACAGTCGAAAAGCCCTATGGGGAGGCGTCGTCAAAAACCTAACTCAGCTCTATCCAGGAAGCCAGCTCCCGGAAAAATTGATCTCCACGATTCGCCGACACTTTGATTCTCTTCCTCTGAGTTATGCAAACGCTGGTTTTGAGATCAGAGAAGTTTTCTCTCACGTCAAACTCATCGAACAAGCAAGCGCAAGCGATCGACCTGCTGTTTCGGTTCAAGAAGTGCAGGATTCGAGTGAGTTCAACACCGGAACACTGTTTAACCTAACTTTTGCTTCAATGTCGCCGATTTCATGGCCGGCCATGGCCGGTGCATTGGATTCGGCTTCTACTTGCTGCAAAAGAGTCCAGATCTTTGAGAAGAAGGGGTGTACCCTTGGGGTGGTGCTTGTTTTGGTACAACCAGGCCACGAGCGTGGGTTCAGGGCCAAGGTTGATGGGGCGCTCAAAGCCGGCTCTATAGCAAAACGAGGCACCAAGGCCGGGGCGATGAAGCTAGCCCTGGGGCTCTGCGGGTGTCAAGGCGAGCTCACCAGGGCTCGAGAGCCCGAGCCCTCCAGGCCCTGGCTCGTGGCCAGGTTCGACGAGCTGGCTCGGTGGGTCATAGACCCAGACGAGCTCGAGCTCGTGAAATCGGGCCCTGATGGGTTCGAGGGCCTGTTCAGGGGCCGGCGCGTTAGGGCTCGGATGGTCCGTGGGTGCGGCGAAAAGCTCGAAATTTTTGCCGAAATCGAGATCAGGCGCGACGTGCTGGAGGTGATGGGGAGCGGGAAGAGGGGTCTCGTCCAGTTCTATGGGTTGTGTATGGTGGAGAAGCAGGGGTTGTGTATCGTGACGAGGCTCATGGAGGGTGGGTACGTGCAGGAGAGGAAGGGGAGGGTGGAGGTGAGGGAGGTGGTGAGGATAGCGGCTGACGTGGCGGAGGGGCTGAGGTTCATGCACGAGAGTGGGGTTGTGTACAGGGACTTGAACACGGGTTGTGTATTGTTGGATGGGGAGGGGAACGCGGGGCTGGCTGGGTTCGAGGCGGTGAGGAGGTGTTGCGGGGGCGGAGGCGAGGTCACGGAGTATGAGACGTCGGGCTTTCGGTGGCTCGCACCTGAGGTTAGTGCGCTCTCTCTCTCTCTCTCTCTCTCTAAATTGTTGTCCTCTTTCCCTCACTCTCTCTCTCTCTCTCTCTCTAAACTGTTTCCCCACTGTGTTCGATCTCTCAAATGTTCAAAACTGATATGTCCAATATTTGGTCTCAAATTTGACAATGACATCATCTCTATCCATTCATTTCTCTCTTTCCCAACAATTGACATGCCTCCATTTCTCTCTCTAGAGGAGGCCCAAAAATGAGATGGGTCCCCTCTCTCTCTCTCTTTTTAAAATTACCCAAAATTTGACATTCGAGTTCTCGCCATCTCTCTCGGACGCATCGCCCGGCCCCATAAAAACTAGGACTTGTGCCACTCGCCCCAGAGCCCAGCCTGGGCTGGGCCAGTCCGGCCCTTATTTGTTTTAACTTTTTTTGTTTTGCTTTTCTTTAATTTTACCTGGTCTTGCTGAACGGATGAGATCCGTTCCAGGCCAGGCCGGCCCTTAAAGAATACGGGTTCTCCTAAGTCAGGGCTGGATCAGCCCACGACGAGTTGCCAACCCTACCTCCATTCGCTCTCGAGGAAGCCTATAGAGGGAGAACTCTCAATATATTAAATGATAAAGAATATAGAAGACTCCGAATAAATATACGGCCAATAACATGATAAATACCAACAATTCTTGATAAAAATCATTTCTGGATATTTATTTTTACGGAGAACTTGCTTTTTGACATCAGTGCAACCATTGCAATTTAGGTTCAAATCCTAAGAAAGGGCTACCTATAGATAGGGTTCCTTGAAAAAAAATCAGAGTGAGAGCCGCCATAGAGTGAGAACCACCATAGAGCGAGAGTCGTCGAGGACGTCGATCCTAGGGTGAAAGGATTACCTATGGAAAGGGCTACTTGATCAAAGTGAGCGCCACCATAAAGTGAGCCCCCGAGGATGTCAATTGCGGAGCGTGATGGTACGTAACAATCCTATATGGTTTAAGGGCCTAATTTTCCACGTTTTCATCACCCAAGGGTTTTGGGGCGTATTGGTTAGGTACCTAACATTTGGTATCAGAGCATACCAAATATGAGTAGTTATCTTCAGGTGCATGTCATGACCAAGAGAAGCAGCGGTTGCGATGTTAAGATTACTTGATCAAGAAGCACAAAAAGCAGCAAGCCTCGGAAACAAACGACAATGATCTTCAGGTGCATAGCATACCAAATATGAGTAGTGATCTTCAAGTGTGTATCATAACCAAGCGAAGCAGTGGTTGTCATGCGTAGATTGTTTGATCAAGAAGCACAAAAAGTGGCAAGCCTCAGGAACAGACGACCATATCATAATAGACTCAGTTGAAACAGAAACATAACGACACTTGCAAGAGCCAACAGAACTCGATGTGGATCCGAGAAGGATTCCGCAGCTCGCAGAACTGAACAAACAAGATAAAGTAACGAAAAATTCGATCATCAAATAGGATCGAGTAACAGAACACTCAATCATCATACAGAGATTAGAGTGACTAGGTGAAATTTCAGATAGATCTAGACCTAAAGATCAAGATCCAAAGCCAAAAAATAGGTAGAGGGGCTGTTTTTTAGATGGGGCAGATTGATCGGTTTTCAGAGGTTGATTTAGACGTAGGTTTTAGATATGACAACTTTTATATAGATGGGTACGACTGCTTTCGTGGCTATTGGATTGTCGCAGCAGTTTCTGGTGCTTCTGGGCAGCTTTTTACTGCATGTAACCATCTTTATGAACAGATTGCAAAAAAAAATTCAACGGAAGCAAGAAGAAACAAAGGCCTTTCTTATGCTAGAGGCAATTTTAAAGAGAGAAAACAACGTATATATTTGGAACGAATTTCCCGACTTTAGATTTGAGGTTGGGGAACTCAGATCTGAAGTTGAAAAGTATATGGCTTTGTTACCATGATAGAATCTTAGGATATGCATAGAATTCTCTGTATATTGAATGATAAAGAAAATACAAAATCCTATATAAATATATATGGTTAATAACCATTTTGGATAGATACCAACAGTTATTGATACTTACTAGCTAATCTTATCATAAGCAAGAGATGCTTGAGGTCCCAATCTTATCAAGAGATATATATATCAATAAAGATATATATTCGTACTGATATGTATCCATAATGATGTATATCAATACTAAAACGATACATATCCATACGCTAACAGGAGCAACATGTTGTAGGAAACCAGTGAGCCTTTGATGAAAAAATGGCGGTAAAAAGGTTGAAGCTTACCGTCGGCGGCTCTTCTTCAAGAGCATAAGTATTTATCAGGCATGACCACTTTGTGGCGGCTAAAGTGATGAAGACTTCTTGAGACCTGTGAATAATGTTCACCTATGCGAAGAAAGCTATAGCCATGGTAGACTCTATCTTTCCCCACTTGACATCAGATGAAGAAGGTCTCATCTATGCCGCTTTCATCGCATTCTACAATCAAATGATTGATGTGTGGGAATATGTATCAGTAGAGCAAACTTTTGCTTTTGATTCAGATGAGAAGAATAAATACAAGACGGGCATTGGAGCCTTACTGTTTGAAGGCTTAGAAAATGAAATGATCTCTCCGTGCGATACCATGTTGTATTGAAAAAAATATTGTCATACTTTTTTTTCCCTCAAGGGCGACTTCTGTGCAAGGTATGTTCATAGCGAGGAGAAGACCGGTTATATAAGCAGGGCATTTCGGTCAAAATCTAATCCTTCATCAGGCAGTTTTCCATTTTATCATTTTCTCGGACCTCAAACAACTATTTGTGGAGGTTCATGGCCATTTATGGTCCAAATAGACTTAAGAGATTTCTTTTGGGAAGAACTAGAGCATGGCCAATGCCACTGTACTCTCCCTTGGTACACTATTGACAATTTCAACATTAAGAGATGGCCCTTTGAGAAGAACATAAGATTAGGATCACAGCCAACATGGTGGTTTTTTGAAAAACATTACCTATAAACTTCAAAAAGAAAAAGCCAAAAAAGCAAGGGAGAGAGAAAGGTGTGCAGGGGTACCAACCAAGCAATAAGATAAATGAGAGAAAAAGGTGAGAGAAAGGCGTACCACCACCATTGAATAGTAGAAGTCGGTCATGTTTATATAACCAGTCTTCTCCTTGCCTGTCTTGTTATCGGAATACTTTGCATACCTTGCAGAGAAGTTGCCATTGAGCAAAAAAAAAAGTACGACAATATTTTTTTTCAATACAAAGGGCAACAACATGGTATCTACCAGCACTATAATCTCATCGGACAGAGTATCCATTTCATTTTTTAAGCTTTCAAATAATATGATTGCTATGTCTGTCTTGTGTTTATCTATTTCATCTGAGTCAAGAGCAAAATATTGTTCTGCACACCCGTCATTTAGTTGTAGAGTGAAGTGAAAACGGCATAAATGAGATTTCTTATGATATCAAGTGGAGAGAACCAGGGTCTATCATGGCGATAGCTTTCCTGACATGAATGACTATTATTTTAAAGTCTCCTGTAGTCTTCATCACTGTAATTGCCACAAAGTGGTCGGTAAATGCTTCAGCACTTGAAGAAGAGCTGCTAATGAGCCGCCATTTTTTGAAGGAAGGCTCATTGGTTTCCTCGTGGGAAACAGAGAAAAAGGGGGAAAAGGCCCAATCTCTGGTGGTGACAGAATGCTCTTGTACGATGGGTTGAGTGTAATTTTGAACAAGTTTTAGTAGGAAGAGGAATATGCAAAAAGAGTCCCAGGATTAAACCTCTCTTTGAAAATGACAATGGAGGGGTAGAGGTACACTCATATTTTGCAGCTTTTTCTTCATGATTGAACACTGGGTAGTCCTAATTTTGGTCATCTTTGGTTTGGTAGAGAGAGAGAGAGAATTGGTTGGGGTGAGATTTAATCCATCGATTAAAAAGGTTATGTTAAAAAAAAAAAAAACGGAAAAAAGGAGATCTTTTTTTTTGGTGGAAAAAAATTTGATAGTTTTTTTTTGGATAATTCAATGGGAAGACAGGCCTGGGCCCATTTTTTCCAATTAGATAAGGCGTTAGGTTTTTTTTTTTTTAATTTTTTTATTTTTATTTTTTAAGGTAGTTCGTGGGGTGATGTTGGTGGTGAAAATGAAAACGACAACGTGGTGGCCATCAGGTGCTACAATCATTTTACTTAAAATTTAAAATTTAAATAATTTTCTACAATCATTTTACTTAAAATTCAAAATTTAAATAATTTTCATTTGGATATTGTGTTTTTCTATATTCAAAATCTCAAATCACTCTAGGAACATTGTTTTCATAGTGAACATTGTTTTCACAGTGAACTTCGTTCCCGAAAAGAATGGGTAGGGTCCTCTGTCGCTCTCTCACAAGTCACAAGGTTGAAACCCTTGAACGCACTTTCACCATTTCTTGAGAGAGAAACAGCATATATTTTCACTGAAACCAACTTTCATTTGCCATTTCATTGCAGATAATCGCGGGCGATCCTGAGAGTGTAGAGGAAACAACAATGAGCAACGTTTACAGCTTTGGGATGGTGGTGTGGGAGATGTTGACCGGAGAAACCGCCTATGCCAGTTACTCTCCAGTTCAAGCAGCGGTCGGAATCGCCACTAATGGCCTCAGGCCTCAGATTCCGGCCAGTTGCCCAGCCGTTCTCCAGTCACTTTTGAACAGTTGTTGGAATGTTCACCCCTCTCAACGCCCTACTCTTCCACAGATAGCATCCATCCTAAGCGATTTTGAAAACAGTTATTCCCTCAGCTATTCGTCTTCCAGCGGGGATTCTTGATCGTATTTTGGTCTTTTCACTCGTAAATGCATTTTCTTGTTATTTGGAGGAGGTATAGTTTTTTTTTTTTTTCTCTCTTTAGTATTTTGTTCTTTATAGAGCATGACTTTGTTCTTTATAGGGCGGATGAACAAGATTTGTATAGTCCATCCCAAATCATTAGGATAAAATTCAGATGATGATGATGTATACAGTGGCTTTTGATCTTTAAGATGCTGCCCTGAATGTTCTCATGCCGGGTTTTCTTCTTTTCTTCATTCACAATATATGTCTTGGACGATTGTTTGGGTGAAGTTATTTGGTTTTTTTTGTTGATTCGATAAGCGTTTGCTATAAGGTACTTCGTTTCGAGATTGTCTATAAAAAGGCTTTTTATATTTTGTACATGGAGGTCACATTCATTTTTGTTATTTAAATTTCAAAATAAGAGGGTCATTGTATAGACATGAAGTTCCGAAAAAAAAAAAAAAAAAAAAAAATTCTTGGATTTTATCTCGAATTTTATGATTCATTTCGAGCCATCTTCAATTTGACATCTAATGAGTGAAAATGATTAAGTCCTCCATGTACAATAAGATAAATGATCATTTTAATCTCATTTCGAAGTACCCAAGTATGAAGATCTATACAAGACGAGAGAAATTGCCATTTCAAGCTAAGGATTAAAGGTGATGGAGAGAGTTGACCCTTAGAATATAAATCACCAATGTTGTATTGGTACTGATTTAAAAATTGAAATTGGGCCCCACATCTCTGATTCAGGATTTGCCAGGTCCAACTTGAACAATTCCACAGTTAGATTGGAGTTTGCAGGAATTTTTATTTTTAAATGGTATAAGAGGGTTTTGTAGTGATTGTGGAAATTTCATTTTCGAAGCGATTAGTATCTTTTTTTTAAAAAAATTCCGAATATCATAATTTTGAATAAAAGTACGTTTGGTTCTCAGTCACATGAAATAGGTTGCTAATGTAAAATTATTTATGTCGTAAGCAGTTTACGGAAAGGACTCTCTCAAACCCATTTTTTCCCTGAGAAACACATGTGGAAAACGCTACATAATCAATTTATAAGGAGCATTTGTTTTGAAGGAAAGTTCTCTATAGGATAATACTTTTCTGTTGGACCCCAACTTTCTCACGTTTATTTCACGGGAAAGCGGAAAACACTGTAGCACTACGGGTTTAAGGGGATACGCCAATGTGTTTTCAAGAGAAAATGCTTTCCTAGCTCTTTTGATATGAAAGCACTTTCTCATGTGATAGAGCCTTTATATCGGAGAGTTTTTTTTGGAGAGAGCATTTCCTCAAACTAGAACCTCTTGAATTTAGGTATGGCAGCAGGTCGGGTTGTGTTTGAGTCCGGCCGGATCCAAGATTTGGACCCAGACCCAACCTGTCGGAACTAATTTTTGGATCCAAACCTAGACCTAGATTGGGTTTATCCCCTCAGGTCTCGGGTAAGGTCTGAGTCGATTGCCGCCCCTACTCCTAATCCAGATCTAGATCAGTTGAATCGGTCATTTTGAAATAACTGTTTATTAGTTGTGATCAACCTCTTTGTACACGAGCATAAGGTATGATTCTCACTTTAATTAGTTAATAGAATAGATGAAGTATAGGGGGGCCTCCGGGTTAAGGGGGGGGCTCCCAACAAGCAATGAGTGGTGGTGCTGCCTTTTGCCCTTTCTTCCATTGTTTTAGGGAGCAATGTTATCATTCTTGTCTTAGAAAACGATCCCAATAAAAGGACCAAGCACCCAAGTAAAACAAAAAGATGATTGCATGGTGCTTTCCTTTTTGCCTAATTTTTTTTTTTTACTCCTGCGTGAATATACTATTTATGTACTCTCTCGAGTAAATATATGCTAGGGATATTTTTGGATCTCAAATTTGGGGTTGCAATCTTTACAACCAATAGAATAATCTCAACTAAAAAGGATTTAGAAGTAAGCTCTATGTGTACTAAAAAAAACTAATGCCGAGAGATTGTCGAATCTTTGAAAGGTTAGATCTAAGCGTTAGAAAACTCAAAATTCATATTGTTCTTTTAAAAATAATCATCTAATAATTTTTATATGATTCCGAAATTTTTAGATAAAAAAAAATCAACCTAACTAGGTCTTTTGACCGAGGGAGTAGAATATATACGCCCATGGGAGCATAGTATATGCGCATTTCCTTTTAAGATGAATCCGAGGCTTTTTGTTGGTTGGTATGATGGGCCCAGCCACAGCCACAGCCACAGCCTCTCTCTCTCTCTCTCTTTCTACACACAAACATTAGTATTTGAACATGGCGTTGGTGTCATAATCAGCACAATAACATGTCGTCTTGAATTTCATTCTTCCTATAAGTTGGAGATCTTTTCTATACCGAATTACGTACACAAAAAAGAAAACGAACATGGTATTCTCCTTTACACTTCATGCACCACACAACAGTTTCTCTCTCCGGATCACACAAATCCTCACTCTCTCTAACAAACAAGTACTCGGACCCATGTTAACATTTCTCACTCTTTGGACAAAACGTGATATTTTAAGTTGTTCTCTCGCTCTCTAAAACATGATCTTTTAAGTTGTTCTCTCGCTCTCCAAAACATGATCTTCTAAGTTGTTCTTTCTCTCTCATTTGGAAATTTATACTGTACAAAAATTACTGTTGCACTATACGTCCTCGAGATTGCGACAATGATAGCTTTATGCTCAGCTATTTGATTTTGAGCTCTTCTTTATTCTGACCTCACCGACACAAAATGGAAAATATAATCTGCTATTTGCTACTACTAAAGAATTCCATCATACGCCCACAAATTTTCCTCATCACTCTAATTTTTTTTTAAAAAAAGTTTATATATAAGTATTCAACCCGTAGAACCGCGGATGCACCTCAAAAATCCATCGGAAAAAGTAGTTTTAATGTTGAAAAACCTTTTGATTGATCATCTCGACATCGAGACGTATGATAATGAAAAATAAAAAGATTTTCAGTCTAAAAAATAGTACATTTGACAACGTATTATCTACACCGTCTATTTTCAAGATTTTCATATGTATATAGATCTACTTTATTTTAACCATTTTTAAAATTTAAAATTTTATAATTAGATATAAACATAGATTTTGAGATATTCCTAAAATCATTTTATATCAAAACTATATACCATGATAAAATTTGAAAGTACACCTTGCCTCTACTACTACATATGCATCCGTATGCCACCTGCAGCCTTTTTTAATAACATGAAAGGAAATTTGTAAATGTTTGTTAATAAGATATTCAATTGAATGTTAAAAATGATATTTGGGGGATAAACAAAAACGTATGAAGATGCCTTTATGCCCTTTATATCATCATACTTTATGACCTCGAATTCACCTCAACAAACTCAACTGAAAAAAGGAAATATTAATTATTATTGACAAATAATTCGTATTACGTTAATGTTGAACAAGTCCTAGAAAAAATGAACATGGTGATATTATTAAAAAAATGGTGACAAGTATTTGAGTGGACGCGCACATGAAAACTATAGGCAGTAATGGAGGAAAGGTAGAAGCCCACATGGCACATGCTTCAAACATGTGCTTCCTTTTGTCGGTGACTATCAATGCTAAAGTGCGCATTTAATTCATGAAAAATGTATTTGGAGAAATACGAACTATGTCACCTATGAGCTTCGGATTAGGCACTCAACTCTCTAAAAAAGTAGGCCTTAGGTCAATCAACTTGGCCCAAGGGCTGGGCTAGGGCTTGTGCTAACCCAGTTTACCTCAGCCAGCCCTCTATTTTTTCTTTTAATTTTTTATTCTTCTTGGCCTGTACCGACCCAGCCCGGGGCAGGGGTGGGCCAGGCTTGAGCTAGTTCTATGGGGACAAGGGCTGGGTCAGTGACATGTCTGGCCTGGCCAATTGCCACCCTTACTTTCGATTTTACTAAAAACCTTCTGAAAAAACAATTTCGACCCTCCCAACAAAGCGGCCAAAGTTCTTGTTTGTATGAATTTTACACATTCATAAACTACTAAAAGGGCAATGAGGAATGGTTACTTGTGGTTCACCCATTTACTTGTCTTAAATATCCTTCCATGAGCACTAGCATTGTGAAGGGGAGGAGGACTAGAGATGAAAATATTACATTCAAAAATTCAAATAAAGCAAAGGAAATGCCAAGAAGGAAATTTTGGGGGATAAAGATGAATAAAAAATAGAAAAGCACTTAAAAAGAAAAAATGGAGATCAAAGTGAAAAAAAGAAAGAACAATTGTTTCATGCAGGTTGGACCGCACTTGTACAATATGCGGTCTAGAGGCATAACACACCCATCCTAAATATGGATGCAAATAGGTGGTCCATCTGATAGAGAGATAATTATCGTGTAGAGGAGAGGAATTCTTTTTCGTTAATGGAAATATGGGTTTCGATAGAGATGGATTTTGTGTAGACGTGTCTTCTTTCTCTCTCTAAAAAGGGAAGCTTTCTTTGATATGTCACATTACGTGAAGATTTGTGAGATTGAGGAAGATAATGGAGAAAGAGTAAAGATTGCCTCCTGAAGGAGATAGAGGGAGATATTTGAGATAAGGATGATTGAGATTGAGAGAGATATAGGAAAGAGGTCTTTAGGACAGAACTGATAATATTGGGGTTCTTTTTTTTGATACATTGAAGAAAGAAAAACCCAATATTTTTTTTAGATAAGGATTCAATTGTCCTTGATCCAATACAAGTTGTGAGCCCTAATTTACCAATAAAAAAATTAATGAGTCTTAGAGAGAGGAGCAGAATAGTGAGAGAGATTTGATGAAGGATGGATGCTGATTGTTAGAAAGAGAAAATATTGAAGAGAGAGAGGGGGAGATCGACATTTGCAGGGTGAGTGCTATAGAGAGAGAACAACAATGGAGTCCCATCTACCATAAATGCAATGAAGCTGAGTCAATATAGCTGTAAACTCGATGTCAAGAAGGATCTAAATACAACCGAACAACGGAAATATAACCTTTTGGTCTGGCCTTCAATTTGGCTTATAATATCAATGACAGGGAGAAGAAAAGATGGAACATGGTAAGCCATCTTTTGCTGAGATCTTGTGTACTCCTAGAAGTACCTTTCTTCGAAGAAACCATATAGTGCTTGTGAGCGATGAGATCATTAGAGAACTAGAAAAAAGACTACTTTCAGCGGTGATAGTTCCTTTCAAAAGGGAGTTTGGTGAGATTGGTTTGTTTAATAAATGGGTGAATAGGACATGGTCTTCTATTCCTAGTCTTTGTCGATCCATTCCTGAAGGTAAAATTATTTGTTTTCTTGAATCTGCAATAGAAGCCAGCAAAGTAGTCTCATAGTGTTTTTGGAAGTATATAAATGTAGATTGTGTTACTGATAAATGGGTTCCTGCTTTAGAGATGTATATGATCAAACGAAGATATGCTTAGCTCGTTGTGTCTGGTATTCCAATCATCGCTTGGTCTTCTACTATTGTTAAAGATGTGGCCAATCTTTGTGGTCGTCTTATTAAGATTGATTGGAATCTGACAAACTATCATTCCTTGGTCTTTTTGGTGAAAATGCGAGGATTTGAATAACCCAAGGAAGGTATCCTTAAGCTTGGGGTTTTCAATTTTAAATTATCTTTTAAAGAGATCAGTGTGCAGAATGGAAAAGTTGGGGTACCACCTCTGATGGCGACCCAGCTTCCTAGGCAGGGGAATATTAATGTTTATCAGAAAGTACGGAATGATGAGTTTAGTGGACGAAATTGCAGATCCGATTTGCAAGGTCTGGGACAACCACGTGGAGGATAGAAAGGTAGTCAATCCTCTCTTGTTGTTTCTAAGAAACTGCTATTTTTCAAGAAGCAAGTATGGCTACTTAAGAACAAGAAGTTTGAGGTGGCGTTCGTAGGAAATATGGATACTTCTATTCACGATAAGGGAAAAAAAGCGATCTCTATTTTGGATGGTAGCAAACATTTTTGGATTTTAGTGAGGATTCTCAATTTGTTGGGGGCTATGATAATATTGCAGAAATTAAGAGAAGGAGACGTGATTCTTTGAATGAAGAGAAGATTGAGGAGCTCATACATGTGGAAGGAAATAGGGAGCCTTGGAAAGGTCATTGCTCAGGGACCAAAGATGTGGAGCCTTTAAGCAGCAGTGCTAATTTTGTGTTGGAGAAGGAGTCGCCTGCCTCTAATGCTGTGATTGCAAATATTATCTGCAAAAATACTGCCTCAGTAAAGACGATTTTAGAAAGGAAGGCGGTGAATTGTTGCAACCCATAAGTAAGGAAAAGGTCATTCTTGCTTTGGCTAATCTTATGTCTCTCGGATAAGATATTTTCCTCTTTGAGGTTTGATATGGCGGAAAAATGGTTGTCTTTTAAGAAGGCTGCACATAAAAAGGTGGTCCCGGTCTAGCCAAGGTCTCCACCTGAAGAACAAGGGCTACCAATTGTTGTAGCGGATGACATTGGGAAAAATCATCAAGTTATACTTCCACAATCTGAGTCGGGTACATTATCTTTTGGTGAGCAATTTGACGCCTGGTTTGGAGAGGGAATTACGTTTGTGCCACCTTTGAATGTGGTGCAACCGGAGGAGCTTGAACAAGGGGCATTAGAGGGTTATGCTGCCAATGTTTTAGAATTTTCTCCTCAGATGGAGGTAGGAGGTGAGGGGAATATACCAGAAGATGTTAGTGTGTTGAATAATGTTGATATTGGTGTTGGTGGTCAGTTGTGTGTTAATGGAAGAGGTGAGCAGGTGGCCGGAACTTTTGCTAATGGTGTTATTGGTAATGGGAAGGACAATGAAGTGCAGTTATCATATTCAGAGAAGAACCATATGACGATGTTCTTAGTTATGGGAGTTGATTTTCGCTCGGCCACACATGAGGTTCTGGAAGAGATGAGAGAAAAGTTGAAGAAGGAAGTGTTAGATGATCTAGAGTCTCAGCAAAGTCTGATTTCAATGGGTAGGGACGTTTCTGTGGATACGTAGGTTGGGAAGACGAAAGGAAAGATCGCATTGCAGACTACTAGGCACTCTGCAAGAATTGCTGCAAAATCAAAACCAAAAACTCATGATGAGGGGGTGGTTGTTCGTGAACCGTCCATGTTTTTTTCCTTAAGTGAGAGTAAAAGTATTGATTCTACCGATGGTCCACCAATCGCTAGGATTGGGCAAAATTTTGGTGCTAATGAAGATAATTAGCTAGAACGTACGGGGGCTAGGGATTGAGCGCAGAAAGAGGGAAGTGTAATTGTTGGTGAGAAAGGTGAAGCCTGATATCTTAATGCTTCAAGAAACCAAGCTCCCAAGTCCAAATCTCAGGTATGTGCATTCTGTGTGGGGGCGGAGTGCCTCGGGTTTTGATGGGGTAGATGCGGTTGGATCCTCGGGGGGGTTATGGCTTATTGGGGATGGTTCTGCATTTACAGTTTTGGATATTATTAAGGGAGAATTTTTTGTGGGTGCTATTTTGGAAGACCCTTTTGGGGATTTCGGATGGTTGGTTATTAATGTTTATGGTCCGATTGATGTCTCTATTAAATCTAGTTTTCTTGATGCTTTGACTAACATTATCTCGAGCTATGATCTTCCTATTTGTTTGGGGGGGGGGGGGGGGGGGCGGGGATTTCAATTTCATTCGATGGCCAGATAAAATTAGTTCTAATACTCCTCTCAATTCTTATATGTGGTTGTTCAATAATTTGATTCATCATAATTTGCTGATGGATCTTCCATTGAATGGGACTATTTTTACTTGGACAAATAATTCAGTGAATAATTTGATCATGAGTAAGTTGGATAGATTCTTGATTAATGGGGCTTGGGAATCCCAATTCACATTGGCCAGGTTAATGCTTTGAGGATATTTTCATTGGACCATACAGCTATTCTTATCTAGACTGAAAACTTGTTTTGGGACATAGGCCTTTTAGAATGGATGTGGTATGGTTGGAAGATTATGAAGTGCGTGATATTGTTAGAAATGCTTGGATAAATAATATTGTTATGGGCTAGGCTAGCTTTAGACTGTTTAAGAAGTTGATTATTGTCAAGCATAAGTTACTTCAGTGGAAAAAAGAAAAGAATTTTTGTATAACGAATAGGATATATGAAACTGCTAATCGTATTCAAAATATAGATATTTCTTCTTTGATTAATGGAGTGATTACAAATGCTTTGGCTATAGAAAGGGTGAATTTGGTTAGTAACTTGCATAATTTGATGAGAATGGATGAGATATATTGGAAACAAAGATCGAGAGTCAAGTGGTTGAAAGAGGGGGATCTTAACACTAAATTCTTTCACTCTATTGCCAATGCAAGGCGTAGACAGAATGATATTTCTGGCATTGAATTTAGTGGTAAGATAATAATGATCATGTAGCATGGGAGAATGAATTTGTTAACCATTTTAAAAAGGCCTTCACTAGTGAGCTTCATTTCGGGATAATGAGGGAGTTCCTTTTAAAATACTTTCACCGGCGGAGGTAATTTTTTTGGAAAGAAGGGTGGATATGGATGAATTGAGACATGTTATTTTTGCATGGTCTGGAGATAAAGCTTCTGGGCCGGATGGTTTCCCCTTGCTTTTCTTTCATAAATTATGGGATTTGCTCAAAGATGAAGTTTTGTTGATGGTTAATGAGTTTTTGCTTAGGGGATCATTGAATGAGGCTATAAATTCAACTTTTATTACTTTGATCGCAAAGAAATACTCAATTGCACGTATTAATGATATCCAACCGATTAGTCTTTTGACTAGCCTCTATAATATCATCTCCAAAGTTTTAGTTGAAAGATTAAAAATGGTTCTTCTTAGTATTATTTCAGGCACTCGATCGGCATTCATCAAGGGTAGAATGATTATGGATGGGGTTCTGATTGCCCAAGAGTGCATTCATGCAAGAACAGAAAATGGGACACCGAGGGTTATTATTAAACTCGACATGAAAAAAGCATATGGCTGTATAGAATGGGTAGTATTGGATGAAATCCTTATGCGAATGGGTTTTGGTGTTAAATGGCGGAAGTGGATTTTAGGATGCTTGTCTTCGACACATTTCTCAGTTTTGGTTAATGGTTGTCCTAAAGGTTTTTTCCAGGCTTCTAGGGGCATCAGACAAGGGGACCCTTTATCCCCTTTCCTCTTTACTTTGGTGCGTGAAGCATTCAGTTTGATGATTAAAAATGTGGTGGACAGTCATATTTTTTCTGACTTTCAAGTTGGCTCTAGCGGTCCATCAATCTCTCATCTACAATATGCGGATGATAGGCTGGTTTTTTGTGAGGCAAACCCTCAACAAATGTTGAGTATTCGGAGATTCTTGAGATGTTGTGAGTTTGCGTTGGGTCTTAAAGTTAATTTCACTAAAACATCTATTATTGGGGTTTGTTGTGATCAAGTTGTGGTGGAAATAGTAGCACAATTGCTTCAATGTAAAGTTGAATCATTTCCAATTACATATCTGGGTATGCCTCTTTCAAATTCTAGGTGGCCTAAGGAGGTTTCGGATCTGGTGATTAAGAGAGCTAGTTCTAAACTGGATATTTGGAAATCAAAACATCTATCCTTAGGAGGAAGAGTAACTTTGATTAAGTCTTTTTTTTCTAACCTCCCTATTTATCAATTGCCAATGCTTCTCATGCTTGCAGATATCATCAAGAAATTGGAAGCGTTGTTGAGGGACTTTTTGTGAGGATCTGATGATGAAACGAAAGAGATATCATCTTGTTAGTTGAGATAGAATTTGTACACCCAAGGCTAAGGGGGGTTTCAAGATTCGAAAATTAAAGCTTGTCAATCAATCTCTAATTGCAAAAATGGTGGTGGCGGTCGTTGAATATGGATGGTCATCTCGGGATTGATGTCTTGAAAGCCAAATATGGAGTTGATCCATGTTATACTATGGTTACAGTATGTCATGTTGGTAGACGGTCAACCATTTGGAGGACAATAGTGTCTATGCGATCTTTGTTCCTTTGCCATTTGAGATGGACATAGGGTAAAGGTGATATGGCTTTGTTTTGGCACTCGAAATGGGAATCTGACCTCCCAATGAAAGCACTTTTCCCTGATATTTATCATAGAAGTTTGCAACATATGGCTACTATGCATGAAGAAGGTAGTGGCAGTGGCAGTGGGCAGTCCATTGTATGGAATGTTACTTGCTTATACAATAGATTACCTGCTGCTACCTTTGATCAGTGTTTGGAATTGCAAAGTGTCTTGGGGAATTTTTTTAACTCAAGTTTTGAAGAGGATGCTGCCATATGGGAGTTGGAATCTGATGGTGCCTTCTCGGTAAGGTCAGCGTATGATATTTTATTCTATGATTGTGTAAGATGGAATTCGCCTTTTTTAAAACATATATGGAGTTGGAAAATACCTCATAAAGTGCAGGTTGTTGTTTGGATTTTGGCGCAAAGTAATGCTTAACAGGGGACAATTTGTGAAAACGAGGTAAGATCATGGTTAATGTTTGCCTTTTTTGTAAAAATGATGAGGAAACGCATGATCACTTGTTTTTACTTTGTCAGGTTACTTCTACACTTTGGTATTGGGCTTTGTAAAAAGTTAGGTTTTCTATGAATCTCCCTTCATCTGTTTGGCATATTGTGAATCAATTGAAAATTTTAGAGTTCCAAGGGTTTGGGGGAATTCTTTGGAATATTTTTCGTGGTTCATTGTTATGGGGAGTATGGCTTAAAAGAAATAGGAAGACCTTTGAAAGTGTGGCAGTGGATTTGGCAACCTTAAAGAATAAGATCTTACTCTATACATGGAATTGGTTTAGAATTACTAAAAAAGGATGCGGGACTTCAAGAATGGATGTAGATGAGAATCTTGATCAACTAATCTCATTAAGATTTATTAAGGTGAGGCCAAGAAGCAGCTGGCAACCTCCTTTGAGTGGTTGCTTTAAATTGAATGTTGATGGCTCTTTTATAGGAAATCCAAGTAGGGCTAGGGTGGGTGGAGTATGCAGGGACACAAGTGGGAATTTAGCTTTATGTTTTGCAAGACCGTGTGGTGATGCTACTGCGAACTATATTGAAATGGCAGCGGTCCTACAAGGTATCAAGCTATGGAAGGAGATGAGCTTGGGGGACTCGCTATTTGTGGAAGGGGACTCTAAGAATGCGATGGACTGGTGTAACTGCTTATCTATTGCACCTTGGTGTATAAGATATATTTGGTTGCACATTAAAGAATTATCTGCTGGCAGCAACATTACTTTCAACCATATATATATAGAGGCTAATACTTTGGCAGATGACCTTGTTAAGAAGGGGGCATCCCTTCCCTCGTTAAGGCTTTCCCTTTCTTTGTTCTAATGTTGGTTTCTTTTTTGCAATTTCTCTGTTGTTATGGTTGTAATGACTCCATGATTTAAATAATATTCAACACTCTTGTCAAAAAAAAAAGGTGGTCCATCTAAAAACAATTGTAACTAACGGTCCAAATATTTTTTTAATATAATTATTATTTTTAGTTATCAAATTTTATTTTATTTTATTTATATTCATGATCTCCATATTAAAGATTATATATTCTCTAAAAATTAGGACCAGATTATATTTAAAATATATATTTATTGCCAAGCCCGCATTTGTACATGTGCAGGCTGGGCCACATGCTAACCACGTCCAAAAAGAAATAACTTCTAAAAATTATTCAGTTTAAAGCGATATATATTACAATTAGTATAAAAAATTGAGTTCAAAATGGCAAAAAAAAAAAAAAACCAATTCTTCATCTTTCAGTTTCATCTGAAGGGAGATATAGATCCAACAATACAATTTTGGCTAAATCATGTTTTCTTGGGAGAAAATAGATATAAAAGAAGGATAATCAAGAAAATGGTGGGAAAATACCCTAAATCGACATTAGAGATGCTTTGTTTTGATTAAAAACTTTTCTTCGGACTTTTGTAGATCAATACGATAAGATCATTTTGTGAGAAACATGGAAGTTTTAGGAAGGAATCAAAGATTTTTTGTTTCAATTTCAAAAAAGTTCTCTAACTTTGGACTCTCGATTTCTTTTATAAAGCTTAGATGTATTGGCTATAGTGATATCCAAAATCACTAAAAATAAAGAAATCTCATATTATGCTAGATTGTGAGTAATATTGATAAGGGTTTTAAAGGAAATAGAAATCCAAAAGGATAAAGACTATTTGGTCTATCTTTTGGTTTTTTGGATATATGTATCATCCGTGGAAAGTTTTCTATTTAATATGGATTATTTACCTTGTATATGTGGGATGAAAGAGGAAAGAATAGGTGTGTTGTATTTGAGTCATCATGTCGGAAATGTGGCTTCATCTAGAGAGAGACTGGGCCTAAATATGGCTTCGTCTAGAGAAAAACTGGGCCTAAATGTGGCTTCCTCTAAAGAGAGATGGGGTCTCTTGTGCATTGTGCATGAGAAGAGAGTTTCCTATGGAGAGAAATATTATGAAGGTGCATGGGTGGGTGATTTCCCCTCTTAGTAAGAGAAAATCTCGATTGATTTCAAAGTTCTCTTCATGGATAGTGGTTTAGCTGTCGATTTTATTCCTAGATAATGGTTTAGCTATCGGGTAGATATGGGTCGCTTCCTAAACAATGGTTTACACGTGGAGTGGAGATGTTCTTTTCCTGGACAGTGGTTTAACTATATGATAGATATGAAAGATCGACGGGTGGTGCCTGATAGGAGAGTGGGGTTGGTTTAGTTGTCGAGTGGATATGGGTCGCTTCCTGGATAGTGGTTAGATGTGGAGTGGATATGGTTTCTTCTTAGTCAGTGGTTTAACTGTAGAATAGAGATAAGAGATTGGAGGGTAGTGTTAGTTAGGAGATCGGAGGTTTGCATCGCTGGGTTTTATTGAGCTTTAAAGCGGTAACGCTATGTTCCTAAAATTTGATATAACTTTCTTAGTTAACTATGGTCGTGGATGTTACCATTTTGAAGTGAACCACATAAATCTTTATGTTGATGTGGTGTGTATGTTTTTTGCTTTATTTCTCGTATTATGGATTGTATTGCCTATTTTGTGTGTAGCTAGATAAGCACACATTCCTGGTGGATCCAACTTTTTGGGATTACTGTTTCACATTCCCTATGGATCCAACTATTTGGAAATGATGTTTCCATATCGGTACACATTCGTGGTGGATCCAACTTTTTGGGATTACTATTTTCGTATCTAAGATGGCTATTAAATCCTAACAAGATTACCAAGACGGAGTTGGCTTAAGGGCTCTTTACCACAAGCAAAGTACAGAATTGTCGTGTGATCTATTTTACTTTTATCAACATCCTCCATTTTGAATGAGATTCATTGCCAACCTTCTTTATGAAAAACCAAAATTGGAGTAGGATTTTTTCAAGCAGGGCGCAGTTGCCGACTGATAATTACCAGGTGGTTTGATTTTGAGAAGATGAAAAGCTGAATGCAATCTGTTGGCATTTTTTCCAGTTCAAGTGAAACAAAGACTAAAGCAACCATGAAAGTATAGATTGTTGGATTTTAGTAGAAACGAAACGAAGAGCTTGAAGATGTCTAATTTTACATAGCCCTTGATTGATTGGGGATCTATGTAGTATTTTGTGAACTTCTCCTTGATGAATACTTTGGCACCGGCAAATGCCTGATCTGCCATTAGAATTTCTTGCCACTTGGTCCATTAAAAAGAAAACATATTTTTTCCACTTGGAATTGCAAATTCATGAGTTCCACAGTAATTGAGAAGAGTCTTTAATCCTTCTTTTCATACCAAAATATTTGAACAAATGAACTACAACAATAAGAGAAAACAGATGACCCATAGAACCCAAAATCCCTTTATTAGGGAAAGATAGGTCAAGTAGTAGGGGAGAAAAGGAGGTATTATGACCTCCTCACTTGTTTGTTTCTATCATTTTCCTATCTGATTTGATTATGGCTTGAGCCCACACTTCTTTAACTCATTTTTCACATGTTACCCTGGGAAATGAAAATTTCTCCATAACACTCAGCCTGCTGTACCTTGATGAAGTTGTTGGATGCCATAACTGCATTAAAGTAACCATAAAAAAATCAATCACCTATCGACTCGGGAAAATATCGAAGTTAATGGAGAATGAGTGGGGGGCAGGGCTGAATTCTTCGTAGAGTAATTACCCAAAGTGTGGTAGAAAAGCTTGGCTGCTCTTCTTCGGTCCATGCCATTTGTGAGCTCGTTTATAGTAAGCGTTGCTGAAGCGTTTGATTTATCAAAGTGCTCCTTTAGGTTCCTAATATTTGAAGAAAGAGTTTAGGCCTTAGATCTCTTTTATATAAGAAAAATGATGCGCAGTATAATATATGAAGATGTGCCCCATTGAAATTATAGACAGATAGGAATGTGAAAAAGAGAAGCAAAAGTAAGAGTGGAGGTAGGGGAGAAGGAAGGAAGGAAAGACAGCAAGGAGTGCAGAGAAAGTGCAGAAAGATTATCAAGAAAATGAGAATAACTTACTAGGAAAAAAGATCAAATTTTATGCTAGAAAATGAATCTTAACTATTATAGATGGAAGATTTGCCCCACTCAAATAGAATGCAGAAAAGATTGAAGGAAAAGGAACAGTGAAATTATTTTTGAACAAAAAACAGAAGAAAAAACAAAATTGAGTCACCTCATGATTATGCTGGTAACTCTGTCAATTGATTTAGTAGGGTTTGGTTGGACTGGTGTTTGTTGTGTAGGAGCAGTTTCCACCATAAACTCTGCAAAGAAAAACCAAAAGACAGGCAAACTCAAGTTAAAAATATGCACTAGCAGAGGGTTACGACTATTACAACATGTGGGTTTTGAAAATAATAACCTCCATCCATGCCTACAGGGTTTTTAGCACCCGTAAAATGTTTACGTCCACTCGTGTTTTTGGGGCTCTCTGCAATCTTGAGGGTACTGGTATTGTATGAAGTCTCCTCATGCACCACATCAAGATCAGCGCCCACTAGAGAATTTGGTTGCTCGCTTTGGGATATGTCACTTTTGGATATGTCGAAATAAACCATTGCATTCTTGAAATGAGTTACTTATGGCTTTCGGAAGGGGGCCAAAACATCCCATGTCATATAATTGAAATTAAAAGTATGCAGGATCAATTCTCATGCTTAAAACCAACCTGGCTTGTGTTGGGAGTACTTCAGCTTCATATTGTGGGCCTTGCCCAGATATAGAGCCAGATATTGATGTTCCTGTTTGTCCTGTCATTTATTTCAACCACTTCCACTAATGAATCAGTGTCCTTGAAAGTTTGCAAATTGAATTTAATTGGTAAAGTTATGGATGATGAGAGAGATGTTACCTGAACCAAGGAGTTCTTTTCTCATTGGTCCAGTACCCTGATTTATTCCTGCAACTGTACGCTGCCTTTCTAAGGCCGAATGTACTGTCTCATTCTGGAAATCATATGCACCCTTTAGGACACATGAATTTTTATCAGAATAAGAGGTATAAGTGCGAGAGTATTCGTAATTTAAGTTCAGAAGTCTTACAAAATTAGGTTGGAAATCAGGGTATATGTTGTCTGAAAGTGGTGGGGGTGAATGTGGTGATTGTTGAGGCCATGGTGCACCTCTTCCTGTTTCACATCAAGAATATATCCATACACATTCAAATGTGTGAGAGAGAGAGAGATAGAGAGAGGATGACTAACCTTTGACAGGATGTGGAATGCAACCCTTCCACAGATCTAAGAGAGCAGGAACATCTTCAGGATCAGTTAACAGGGATACCAAAGGGAGGTCCATGGTCTTGCTGATGATTTGGGAAGGCTGGGGCTTGCTTGCCTACAAAGTTTGAATAAGCAAAGAGGTTACCGGTACCCAACAACTCCAATCTAGTCTAGCATAGACGGAAGCCACAACAGCATTGGAACATAACCATTTCTTTTCATGTACTTCATATGCTACACACACACAGCTAGAGAGAGACAGAGAGAGAGAGAGACCAATGGAGTTGTGGCCTTCTTCTTTGAGCTTCTATCAAGGATATCAGATGTGTCTTGAAGCCAAGACTGATAGACTTGACCAGATATGATGATCTGCTTATCAATGATGATTTTACTATGGTCTCTTGCTTTCCTTTTCTGTGGTCTTCTCTGTTCTACTCCATGAACAACCTGTTCACCCTGTTACAAGATTCATACAACACTTAACAATCAAAATGGAGGCTCAATTTACAGATGTTGTGTTTGTGATTCAGTCTTGATTAAACCCTACATGAGCACTCTCTGTCTCAACTTCCATCTGTTGCTGCTGCTGAGGTGGGGTAGCATGTGCTTCATCTGGAGAGAGAGAGAGAGAGAGAGAGAGAGAGAGAGAGACGACGACGAACGATACAACCTAATTATATATCTACTTAACTTAAACTAAACAAATAATTAAGTTAAGTTAAGTAAGGTAAGGTACGGTAGTAGTCTAGT